AGAGACGGGGTTTCACCATGTTGACCAGGATGGTCTCGATCTCTTGACCTTGTGATCCACCCGCCTTGGCCTCCCAAAGTGCTGGGATTACAGGCATGAGCCACTGCACCCGGCCCTGTTCTCTCCATTATAACACAAGCACTTTAAGACTATGGGATTCACAATTGTTAAAACTGACTGAATACTTACTATGTGCCAGATACCACAATGAACACTTCGCAGCATTGCGTGTGAAGTGATTGTTGCATTGAAACCTCATCACGATCCTATCTGACATGCACTAGAACCATTTTACAGATGAGGAAGCTTAGTCTTAAAGAGGCTAAGCAATTTGGCCAGGGTTAAATGACTAATAAATGGCAATGCTGGGATCTGAAACCATATCCTGCTGCTGCCAGGGCCCAAACTCTAAGCTACCGAAGCCATCAATCCCTCCTTATAGTAAATGCTCATTAATATATTAATGAGGTTCTTTGGTTAGAGCTGAGAAAGAAAGAAATCGAGAGCCTACTGAGCTTTGCACACTTAGCCAAACTGTAGTTAAATTTTGCTTGGACTTGTTCCAGAGAAAGACATTTGTTGGCTTTTTCCATTTTATGTGATTTCACCTTGGTTTTCCTTGAAAGGGGCAGCCAGGATGGTAGGTAGGGTAAAGTGCCAATAACACAACTTCAGATATTGGCTTGGTTGGAGTGGGGAGGAGGGTGCCCAAGAGGAGAGAAGGGAAAGAGGGAGTGAAGAACATATGAAGGAGAACTGGGGCCATGCAGCTCACTTCCCTTTGCTGCTCCTTCATCCTTGAAACTCAGAGGTCCGTGATGAGGTAATCTACCAACTAGACTATCTTCTGCTAATAAGAAGCTAATTGATTTTTATCTTGATAAAACAAAGAAAAAGAATACCTTGTAAGATAAATGAAAACTGGCCAGGCATGGTGGCACATGCCTATAGTCCTAAAGTCCTAGCTACTGGGGTGAGGTTGCTGAGGAGGGAGAATCTCTTGAGCTGGGAGGTTGAGGCTGCAATAAGCCGTGAAATAAAACATATCTATATATATGTATGTACATGCACATGCACATATATATAAGCTAGACTTGAGGCTTTCTCATCTGTAAAATGGAGTGAATAGGCATAACATACAGAGAGAATGTGAAGGTGAAGGAAGAGTGTGTATGTGAAAAGCCCTTGCACAGGTTACTTAATAAATGTTATTAAACATGTTTTGTGCAAAAAAAATTTTAAATGTGATTTATTTACATTTATTAGAATCTCAAAGATATAATCATACAATTAGGATTTTTATTTCCAATTTATGGTGCTTGAGGCAATGTATTAATTTAACTGTCCTAGAACTTATAAAAATTAAGCCTTGGGTGGGAGCGGTGGCTCATGCCTATAATCCCAGCAGTTTGGGAGGCTGAGGTGGGCGGAACACAAGGTCAAGAGATCAAGACCATCCTGGCAAACATGGTGAAACCCTGTTTCTGCTAAAAATACAAAAATTAGCTGGGCGTGGTGGCACATGCCTGTAGTCCCAGCTACTCAGAAGGCTGAGGCAGGGGAACTGCTTGAACCCGGCAGGCAGAGGTTGCAGTGAGCTGAGATCACACCACTGCACTGCAGCCTGGTGATGGAGTGAGACTTTGTCTCAAAAAAATAATAATAATAACACTCAACATTCATTCATTCATAATAATATTGAATATTGATTAAGCAATTGCTTTGTAGCATTGCTTTTAGATATTGGGGATACATTAGCAAACACACTGCTAAACAGAAATGAAAGTTATGTATGTGGGGTTGGCGGTGGGGTGCCATCTCATATAGTGTGGTCAAGGAAGGTCTGATAAGGTCATTCTTTTTTTTTTTTTTTTATAGACAGAGCCTCACTCTGTCATCCAGGCTGGAGTGCAGCAGCAGAATCATAGCTCACGGCAGCCTCAAACTCCTGGATTCAAGTGATCCTCCGACATCAGCCTCTTGAGTAGCTGGGACTGTAGGCACATGCCACTGTACCCGGGTAATTTTTAAATTTTTTGTAGAGATGGGGTCTCACTGTGTTGCCCTAGCTAGTCTCAAACTCCAGCCTCAAGCCATCCTCCCATTTCAGCTGAGCCACTGTGCCCAGCCAAGGTAACTCTTGAGGAAAGATATGAAGGATTAGGTAAACAAAAGACTACTTGGTGAAGGAAAAGTTCTTTACAGAAAATTTTAGTCACTCTATGTGGAAGAAATGATAGTTAGAAAAATCACGATCTTACTAGCCATCATAAAATAAGTGATTCAGATGATTGTCATCAATGAGCAAAACCATTAAGGAAAAGTTTGGGGGAGAAGCTTATAAGTAAGGGATCGTGCTGACATCACCTGAACCCGCTCTCCCTCTCAGCACCATGAAAACTGGGACAACCCAACTGCATCACTAAGGGAAGTCGGGAGGACACCAGTTAAGTTTGAATTTCAGAAAAATCATGAATAATTATTACCTGAAAAAAATTAATATTTTTTTAGAGATGTATTCTTCTAGTATAACTATGCCCCAGGCAATACTGGGGACATACATATACTAAGAAATTAGTTATTTATCTGAAATTCAGATTTGGTATCCCGTATTTTAATTTCTAAATCTGGCCATCCAATTCCATCACTGACGGTGTGTGAAGCCTATGGCACCACCTAGGAAGTGTTGTGCAAAACAAGTTGGACCCACATAATCAAGCCTTTAGCACTAACTCCCGTTTATAGGAAATATGGCAAAGAGGAAAGAGAACAAGTTAAAGAACTTCATGATGAGGCAAACCAATGAATCCAGGACATGGGACCTCCACCAAGATGGGGATAAGGGCTGTGGGGCACTCCAGATTAGAAAAAACAAGAGACATGGCCACCCAATGCTATGTCCTGATCCCAACAAGTCAACTGTAGAAGGACATTTTTGAGACAACCAGGTAACTTTAAATTTGGACTGGGTATAAAACGTATTAAATTTTAAAATGGCATTGTGGCTCTGTTAAAAAAACAACAAAAAAAAACAAGCCCATAGTTTTTAGAGTTATACCCTCAGACATGAGAGGGCAAAACAATAGGTTGGGGTTTTCTTTTTTTAATTTATTTATTTTACTTTAGGTGCATACTATATCTGCCATGGGAGTTTCTTTAATCCCAGCCCTCTCCCCCTTCCCCAGGAAAGGGACAGATGACAGAAGTAAGGAAAAACCTTTGATAATGTTGGTCTGGGTGGATGTGTATACCACTCTGTACTTTTGTGTTTTTACAGTTTACTTTCTGTTTGTTCAGAGAAAAACATAAAGGAATGAGGCAGCAAACCATGCAGCTATTTGGGAGAATGCTGCAGGGAGGGCATGGTGGTACCAGGCCCTTGGGTAGAGGCACATGGTCAGGAACAGCAAGGAGGTGGGAATGCACTGAGGCCAGGAGAGAGGAGGGGGTGAGGCTGAAGACAGTAGAGGGGCTGGAGCAAGCAGACCTTGAGGGAGAGGGCCTTCATAGGTCCTGTGGCTTTTCTACACTTGATCTTAGCCAGAAGGCTGAGAAGCAGTGATTTTGGCTTTTCCTCAGAGTGAAGCAGGAACTGTTTGAAGGTTTTGGGCAGGGGAGTGATATGATCTGATTTATGCTATAACAGGCCAGCTCTGGGTGCTGCATGGAAAACAGACTGAAGGGGAAGGTGGAAGCAGGAGTCTAGAATGGAAGCTCCTGTGATGCAGTGGGAGTAACAGTTTGTGCCGAGTAGCAGCAACACAGTGGATAAGCAGAGGGCAGATTCTAGCTACACTTGAAGGCAGAGCCAATAGGACTTGCTGAGAGCTTGATATGGTTTGTGGAAAGTAGACAGAAGTTAGGGATAGCCCCGAAGCTTTTTGCCTAAGCGCATGAAGGGTAGATACTAAGACAGCCAGGCCACAGGAGGCAGGGTCCAGGGCAAGACAGGAGCTCAGTTTGGACATGCTTGCCTAAAATGACCACTAGACATCCAAGTGGAAAACATCAATTAAATTCGGAAATATCATCCAGATATTAGTGCTGTGTCTTCACAAAAGCTCTCCATACACGAGACCTGACCAGTTATTCTCTAAAGAGGAAATTACATAAAAAGAAAATTAAGGGTTCTGTTGGGAGCTGAATGCTATGTTTGTTACACATTGTCCCCTTCTCCCCAAAAGTTACCTAACATCACCCAGAGCCCAGTGAGCCTGTATGAAGCATGAAAGGGCTACTAACGGGGCCCAGCTTCCTCCGGAGCTGCCTTGATCGCCTCTTCAGGGTGGTGGCTCCATGGAACTCCCCCAGGGTGGCTGGCTGGCCTTAAATCAGAGGGCTGGGAAGGCAGCAGATACCTCCATCTGAGGCAGAAGCCCAAGTCAGGTGGATAACCCGAACAAAGAAACAGTGACAAAGAGTATAAGAGCCATCCCAGAAAGGGCTTTTAGGAATCCAGGAGGGGCAGCCGGAGCAACCCTGCATGCTCTAAAATTCTGTGATTCTATAAGGGCCAGTCTAAAGAGGTGAGACAGGTCTTGCCTCTTTCCACAGACATGGGGCTTTGAAACTAGTCCCATCCTTGGTGGTAATTCAGGACAATTTATTATTTGCAGGCAGTGATAATTTTGTTTTCTAATGCTGTGAATCAATCAACAAGTATGATAAGGAAACCCACCTGCCAGTGACAGAGGATTTTCAGGGTCTGGGGGTGATGCTTTTCTCCCCAACTTCTCATTGCAAAGTTGCTTCAGGTCCTGGAGCAGACTGTTCCCACAAAAGAATGGGAACTCCATTCCAGATACTCTCTGGGAGAGAGAGGGCCAGTATTTGCAGAGGTTTCTATCACTCAGATTCTTTTATTTTCATTTGCCCATATAAAACTTCTAAAAGTTTAATTAAAACAGGACCTTAAGAAACTTTACATTCATATAAAGCAGGCATGTCAGTAGGGTGTGAGTTCATGTGTGAAGATTTCTTACCGGGCAAATTGACGATGTGCCTCCTGTTTTTGGTCCCAGAGAACAGAGCGCTCTATTTGAATGTAGACACACGGATCACCTGGCACAAAGCCCTGCAGAACAGGGCCATAGGCCGGGGCATCTGGACACCCACGGCCACCCTCTGCTGGGCTTTTTAGTAACACCACAATTCCTCTAACAGAGGAAATGGGAGTCTGTGGAAACACAACAAAACAAATACAAAACCTAGACTGTTTACAACCATCTCTTGCAGAAAGATACACATTTTAAACTTAAGCAGAGATAAAAAGGCCTCAAATTAAACTTGTAAGCGAATGGCTCTTTTAATGATAATCAAGGCCAAAAGCCAAACCCATGACCTTACCCCAAATCTGGTCTCTACCCTGTCCAACATCAGAATAGACATCTCATCCAGGGCAACATGATAGGAGAAAGGAATAAAGGAGATACATATCAGACAGGAAGCATCATACTATCCCTATAAACAAATGGCATGAATGTCTGTGTAGAAAATCTAAAGGAATGTATAAAAAATGAATCTGGAACTAACGTGAATTTAGCAAGGTTGCAGGACACAAGATCAAAGCACAAAAATCTAACATATTTTTATATTCTAACAATAAACATGTGAAAATAAAAATTTTTAAAACTACAATTTATAAAACTCTAAAAAATGAAATACTTAAAAACTAACAAAATATATACAGGATATGAATGCTGAAAACTACAAAATACTGCTGAAAGAAATCAGAGAAGGCCTAAATAATGAAGACATGTAATACTCAAGGATTTAAAAACTCAAAATAATAAGAAGTTTGTCCTTTCTCCCCAAGTTAATCATTAGAACCAAGATGATCATTAAACCTCAAGTATAAGGAACATGAAGAAAACTACACCAGGAAAAATACATCACAATCATTTGCTTAAAACCAGTGACAAACGAAGTGGGGGTTGGGGGGTGAGAGAACACATTACATAGATAGGAACCAAGATAAGGATGATAGCAGATTTCTTGTGGAAAATAAAGCAAGTCAGAAGACAGTTGAGTAATATTATGAAACTAGTGGAAGAAAATAAACTGCCAACTTACATTCTTTAGCCAGCAAAATGTCTTTAAAAAAATGAAAGGTAGTTTAGGCAAGGTGGCTCACGCCTGTAATCCCAGTACTTTGGGAGGCTGAGGTGGGTGGATCACCTGAGGTCAGGAGTTTGAGACCAGCCTGTGCAACATGCTGAAACCCTGTCTCTACTAAAAATTAGCCGGGCATGGTGGCAGGCTCCTGTAATCCTATCTACTTGGGAGGCTGAGGCAGGAGAATCACTTGAACCCAGGAGGCAGAGGCTGTGGTGAGCCGAGATTGTGTCATTGCACTCCAGCCTGGGGAAAGAGCGAGACTTTGTTTCAAAAAAAAAAAAAAAGGTAAAGCATGACTTGCCTGCTACACTGAAAACTATTAAAACATCCCTAAAGGAAATTAAAGTTTTAAATAAATGGAGGTACCCCATGTTTATGGATCAGAAAACTCAATAGTATTATATTAAGATGGCAAGACTCCCAAAATTAATCTATAGATTTAACACAATTTATATCAAAATTCCAGTTGGATTTCTGCATAAATTGACAAACTGACCCTAAAACTGACAAGCAGAGGAAGCACAATACCCAAAAGAGTCTTGAAAAAGACAATGTTGGAGGACTTACTCTTCTTGATTTCAAAACTTACTACAAAGCTCCAATAATCAGAGAGAATTATGAGATCATGGCAGACAGGAGGCAGGACTAGATGGCAGCTCCCACTGGGACAGACAGAGCAGAGTGCAGAGGCTCGCATCGTGAACTTCTGTTCCAGAACGACTGCAGGAATAAATCAGGAAAGCAGAGAGAGCCCACAGACCCTCTGAAGGAAGCAGATTGCAGGACCCAGGAGACACCCCACATACTGTGTTGGTATCTACCGCTGAGAGACCCACAGATGGTTCACATCACAGGACTCTGCAGACAACCCCGGTACCGGCCTGGAGCCTGGTAGACTTGCTGGGTGGCTAGATCCAGAAGACAGATAACAATCATTACAGCTCAGCTCTCAGAAAGCCATATCCCTAGGAAAACTGGGAGAGTACTACTGCAAGTGAACACCCCATAGGACAAAAGAATCAACAACAGACTTGAGCCCTAGACCCTCCTGCTGACAGGGCCTACCTAAATAAGAAGGAACCAGAAAGCCAACTGGTACTATGACAAAACAGGGTTCTTTAGCACCCCCCAGAAAATCACACTAGCTCACCAGCAATGGATCCAAACCAAGAAATCCCTGATTTACCTGAAAAAGAATTCAGAATGTTAGTTATTAAGCTGATCAGGGAGGCACCAGAGAACAGTGAAGCCCAGTTTAAGGAAGTCAAAAAAATGATACAAGATATGAGGGGAGGCCAGGTACCATGGCTCACACCTGTAATCCCAGCACTTTGGGAGGCCAAGGCAGACGGATCATGAGGTCAGGAGATGGAGACCATCCTGCATCCTGGCTAACATGGTGAAACCCCGTCTCTACTAAAAATACAAAAAATTAGACTGTATGGTGGCATGTGCCTGTAGTCTCAGCTACTCAGGAGACTGAGGCAGGAGAATCGCTTGAACCTGGGAGGTGGAGGTTGCAGAGTGGGCCAAAATCGCACCACTGCTCTCCAGCTTGGGGCGACAGAGTGAGACTCCATCTCAAAAAACAAAAAAACAAAAACAAAACAAAACAA